GAGCGTGCATGAAACAAAACTAGATACTGGTCTGGTCATTTCTGCGCCCTGTGCCTGGGCACCGCTGGCACCGCCCTAGTTACGGCACTGAGGCGGAGGTGTTCGGGTGGAGTGCTAGAGAGTCGCATTCCAGCGTGGTGCGCATTAGCTCGATTGGGTTGTATGTTATCATAACGCGGTTGCTGATACTACGCGTATCTAGAGAATGTTGGAGATGAACTAATTAGAAACACTCTGCTGGATGAACACCACTAAATTCGTTATGATCCTTATGAACATGGTCTTACCCGTAAGTGAAATGTTCCTTATAAGGCGACGCCTTCCTAACGACCATGCCCATTTTCTGCGGAGGGTACAATAACACCTCATGAGCCTCACAGATCTCCCTCTCCGTGAAGGTTTTTCTCATGATCCTGTACGCCACCACGCTATCAACGTGGAACGCGAAGCCTCCTTGCTTCACCAGGCTCATGCCGTATTCGGGCGAGTAGAAGTTGTACTGGTGCTTCGGAGCAATCTTCTTGTGGTACATTCTTAGGGCTACAGGATCCGTCGTACGCTAAAAAAATATTTTGAAATAGTGAGGCATACGATGATTTTTACTTGGTTAGCAATAGCTGAATTAAAGTCCAAACATGTGAATTTGATGGTATTCTAAGGCAGTTCATCTGGATTGGACTAGTCATTTTCAACAGACTGCAAAAAGGAGGTTCTCAGTTTGATATGTTTTCCGCAGTTATCTCGCGTTTGGTTGAACCGATTTTGATGTGGTTTTCATTAAAGTCTATCAGTCTGATCTGGTTACATTTTTCCAGAGTCTATCAGTGATTTAATTTTTCCAGCCATCAATGCTCCTTTATTAACTACCTACCTAGTTCATTTCTGAATAATGTACCTAACTAATAATAAAAAGCACCTTAAAGTAATCCTTAGTATACAGAACGTTTTCGGCGCCAGCCTTCAGGTTACTCTGCAGTAAATCCTCCAGGGTCCTGATGTTCTTAGGCGGCTCCCGAAGCAGCGTGGACACCACTGTCGCGTTGTAGTACTGGTACAACGTCACGGCGTACACAAACGTTACGATCACCACTATCTTCACCGATGTGGAACTTCTGTTTACTGTCATCCCTTGTAACAAAGACAATTTTATTGCAAAAATTCATGTTACCCTACTATAACTTTGAGAGCAAGTGTGATTGTGTTCTCCAGTCGATGAAGCACGATGTCGTGCGCTGCGCGCCCAAACAACTGCACGCAGGAAGATTTGATGAATGCTACTGGCAACGCCACTCTTGTAGCAGAGTTTTGGGCTGCCACTGTGCGTTTGTTGTCGACACAAGAAGATAATGTATCTAAAATGCCAGCCATTAAAGTCATTCTACTTGTTTGCCTGGGTGATATCAAAACTATGATTATATAAGGCAATTTAGGTTTTAAAAGTACCCATTAATAGCGTTCAAATTACCTTGTTGGCAAATAGCACTCCACGCAAAAAGCAAAGCCAAACTGAATGATGAGTCCGTGCTTTTTTCGTGGGACTGCGTTACTTTCGTCTTCAGCATCAGACATAGGATGACTCCAGAGAATATGAGCATCGCCAGAATGCAGTACCAGACTTTGGCCGTAAGAGGGCGCGTGTAGATCGTGTAGTAACCGCCAGGGTGCTTCGGGTGGCGGAGGATGAAGCATTGTCTAAGAATAAGCAAAATTTTTTTCATAAAAACCGACGGCGCTTTATAATGTAGAGTCAAGCTAATAAGGAATCAGGAGCTGTGAAAAAGATGTTTAGCGACACAACATACGATGATCTCTGGGGTACTAGGTACGGTAGGTAGGTACCTACATTACCTAGTCTGAATTACTAAACACAAAAAAAGTCTATTTATTATCCTCCACACCACTTTTGGTGGAATCTGGGTTTAAGTTTAATCACGGAGAAGTCCATTTACTGCTAATACTTGTAGGTACTTTGT